TGTGTTATGTTTGCCATGACGTCATCGATATATCCACGTGTAAGGATATGGAAAATGTTCACTAATAAGTGACATGTTTCCATATCCTCACACGTTAACATAACTGGGCCCCGTTATGTGTTATGTTTGGCATGGGCTCAGTCTAAAATGAGCCATTTCTGATTTTCTATTTCATTATGTAATAATAGAGTCATTGCAGATCAAGCTATTAACAGGATGGGTATTGAAAATATCTCCATGATATTTGCCCCAACTCTCATGTCTAACGAAAATGTAAGTGCAAAACTAGAAATGTCCTCTTAAGTATTTGTGTCTACCATTTGTTATTTCTTTATGCTTAAAAGGCCTATCACCCTTCTAACAATATTCTCAGTATTGATTCTACGTGGGTAGAAAAATCATAGAGTGCCGCTTCTTGAAGTTATACATTTTTTTCCATGCAACATGCTACTATTGACTGTGACGTATGGAACTTTAACTAACGAGGAGGGTAGATAGGCAAATGAAAAGTAGTAGTCGCGCCACAATAATTTGTGCAAATTTACACAATTTCTTGCAATTTCTTCTTTCGCGAATATATGGCATGTAATCTATATGAAAACAGTTTTGACATACAATAGGGCCTCCTTTCTTCTTGGAGGGAGTTGGGCCTCCTCTAACCTAGTTTCAAGCAGTATTAACTTGAGGGAGTTGGGCCTCCAGAAATCAAGTCTATGAGGGCGAAAGTTAGTCTCCTACGCAGCCGCTATTAGTGTCGTCACTCAACGCTCACTCCCCTAGTGTAGTCTCCTACGCAGTCGCTATTAGTGTCGTCACGCAACGCTCACTCCCCTAAGTAGTTAGTACTTGGTACGTGAGCGCGGCGTGACGACACTAATGGCGGCTGCGTAACTAATAGTAGGCCCAACCGAATAAATAAAAATTCGGATTCAAATTTATCCGGCATAGTGTGGACGGGGCCTAAGCATAATACACAATAGTAGTAAACACTAACTAACAATAATTGCTTTCTTTTGTTTAACACAACTTCGTTTCACGGGTCAAGTAAAATCACTATATACACTCGACTTATATTGCTATGCTTATTTATTTGATTCTCTTAACTTTTCCAGACCGGAAAAATGGACAACACTTCAATCAACCAAGAGTTCAAAATAATAGGAGATTTAATTCACTACTACGAATGGTTTTTCGATGTATGTATTCATAATCACGTCTAATAACTTACTGTACAGTGCCACATTTTAACCAAAATAAATCATTTGAGATCCCAAAAACATGGAAGAAATAGAAAACGCGCGAGCGTGCTGTGTGCTGTCATAAAGCACGCGGGGGTTGGCAGAACACGAGAGAAGTGTTAGGAGAAGCACGACGCGTAGCGGAGTGCTTCTGGACACTTATCGAGTGTTCTGCCAACCCCCGCGTGCTCTATGACAGCACACAGCACAGCAAGCAAGTTTTTTTATTTCTTTTATAAAATACAAATTACAATAATAGATAGGAATGACGCAACGGAAGGTGCGAGCGCGTGCAATGTGCTCTCATAAAGCACGCGCTCCAAACCAATCACAACGCAACATTCATAACAGTTATTTTATAATATCATCGATATTACAGTGTATTATTACTGCTATTAATATTTTCATTTTCATTTTCTATGGTCAATTTTTTCCACAGGTTGATGATAAAGAGTTAATAAAAGATAAGGTTGGTAATAGAGATCTTTTCTTTTCTCCACCTTTTCCTGTCCACTTATTCAAATTAATTATTAAAAGAGCAAATTAGTATTAATTAATATATAAGAAATAATATTTGAATCGATGTAATTGTAGATAGTAAGTAAATATGTAATCTCTATAGAAAAAAATGTAATATATACTACAATTTTGTAAATAGTTATCATAACAACAATAATGGTTAACTTTGCAAGTATGACATCTGAATATCGGAAATAAAGTTTGGATAATGTAAAAAAAAAAGGTTGGTAATAAAGAAATCTTCCTCTTATCTTGCGCCGGCAATGCGAGGCTCACATGGGAATACAAAAGAAATGCCAAGAATTCCATCGCGAAAAGGTGTAATTTCTTTTGTATTTACACGTTAAAAACTACACAGTTTGGTAGAGTAACTAGCATTGCACAGAGTAATTGTGTTAGCCTCGCATCCACGATACGAAGGGTCCATTCTGAGCGATTACTTTCTCTATCATGAGTAGCATTTCTTTGCTGTAACTAGTAAAGTAATTTAGAAATTTCAATCTTTGGTTTCAGCTAATGGAAGAAGCGAGAAAAAAAATTCTACAGATTCAAGAAGTAAGTGAATTTTAATTTTAAAACACGACCAGCATGGTTTACTGTGTGATTGAGGGTTCTTGTTTATGTTATGTGTCAGCAAAGTTGCATATTCACACTGTATTTTAATAGTTTTTATTCGTATTCTGTTTTTAGCCGGGGCAAAGTGGAATGAACCAGGAATTCAATTTAGATATTTATGTACAACAAAAGAACGACAGCCCTTGTCTTATTAAAGTGAGTAATGACTTTTCGAAACTAAATGGAATCAAATATTACAGATATTTGTCATTTACTGAATTGTTGCATTAATACTGACTTTCTTGAGGTTGCGGCTGGTATGACTGCTGGTGAACTGTGCATGAATATCATACAGAAAAAAGCACTTCAACCAGAAACTAATTGGGCTCTCTTTGAGGTCATTGGGAAACTGAATCTTCGTAAGTACTGATTATTGCCCCAGTCCGGTTCTCCCTTCCACTTACATGTAAATGTACAAAATGTACATGCACTTAACATTTTTGTAACGAGCACGCAAATGCCCAAAGGATTAGCGTGCATTGTGTCATTTTAAAAGCTTAGATCCAATAAAACGTGAGACTGCTGCTATTATCAAAAACAGTGACGTTACTGTTTCGTTGCTCTGTAACTCTGTACCATGTTTCAGCGAATACCTAGAACACAGTGTAGAGAAATTATTAGCGACCTAATATAGCTAAGCAGACTCGTGGTGAACAACACTACTCATGGTAAATAACCCAAATGCACGAATTAGACACCTCTAGTGAAAGATTGCCTGTTGTACATAGGAGGCGTTAAAAATGACGTTCTTAGAATAGATTACCAACAAGAAAATCACTTCACAACGCAAAGGTTTGCGTTATGTATATTTCAATTTCCAGAAGTATGCAAGAGCTTGTTGATTAATTTCATCAGGTAATCATAAAGCGTTTCTGAAAAACGATTGATGTGCAATGCACATTTTAATTGGCTAAAACGACTTTATCTCTAATCTACCCAAGAGGAAATCTGTACCCCCCCCCCCTTCCCTCCCCCAATCCCCTAGAGCGCTGCTACGCAGGCTAACAGACCTGTTTCGAGTTCTGAATAACTATTCTCTTTAAATATACCGTTCAAACTTCCTTTTATCAAGTCGCAAAAAGTCGCGGAAATCGAAAAAACACATAGCCGCGATGACTATATGAAATTTGAGTTTATCGTCTTTGCCATACAGAAAGAGCTGTGCACCACCGAGAGAAGGTTTTACCTGTTGTAATGTCATGGGAAGCCTTTGGAGAGATCAGTAAAGGCAACTATCTTATAATTAGGGAAAATCACATTGCTGAGAGCATCCAGCCATTCGTGAGTATAATCGAGTGTCAAGACTAATTCTTCGTTCTTTTGTTCATTCCTTCTATCGTGTTTATTCATTATGCGTTTATATTTGTATGCATGTGTTCTATGCTTGCACTTATTCTTTCGTTTATGCTTTTATTCGTTTGTTCTCAACGAGTTACTAGACATTAACTATATCACCATGTCTGCACAGATTGGAACATCTCTGACTCTAGAAGGCCAGCTTCACGTTCGTGAACCAAAGAGAAAAGACTGGAAACTATCAACGGTTATACTGAAAAATGGTTATATGGTGGTAGATAAAAGCAAGGTATGATAAGACGAAAGAATTATACAGATTAATAATGATATATGATACTGATATATAAGACAAGGTCGTGTTAACAACGGAGTATAATAATGATAAAAAGTGATGAAGATACACTGACTTAGGGCCTGATAATGCATAATTATAATCATGATATATATCGTAGTGTAGCTTATCCTACAAATCTTTCAAACTTACATAGTTCGATTTTTTTCTAGTCGTTTTTCAAGACGATCAAGTCCGATAAGTCCGACAATGACCAGTGGTCATTACACAATCTTGTCGTCTTCCTTGGTGTACCGTCAGAAAAATCAACCAAGGGTGTAGACACCAGGTAATTGGATAATAGAGCAGTTTTCGTATGACTGTGAAAACCTCACGGCACGAACACGGCAAGGCGTACGCCAGACCAATCACTGCGCGAGAATTTATTTTCCATCCTATCGAAAATAACTAACTGATCAACCAAGTAAACAGATAAAGTAAGGTCAATGCACAGGAAACCCGGCTATATTTTGATTGCTTCTCTTAGAAAAGTAACTTTGCTCTTCATGGGTTTCCTATGGTTTGTAGTTGCCTTTGATCGCGGTTTAAGTAAGAGAAGCTGTAATCAGATCCGCGCTGTAAATCGATAGGCGATTAAATTCAAATTAATAACCGTTGATAACGCACTCTAAAGGTGCTGACACACAATGCGACATTGCACGCAACATTGCAAGCAACAAATTTGAATCGGGGTGACACAAATTGCAACAAAATCACGTATCATCGCTTGTGTCAGCCTGCTATGCTAAGATATTTGGTCAGAAGTTATAAATTTGGTGCAAGCCGTTTGGCTGGAAATTTCAAAATGTTGCTAGCAATGTTGCAGCCATGTTCACACCATGAAATTTGTTGCTCGCAATGTTGCAAGAGTAGAGCGCGATTCAACTTCAGGTTTGTTGCATGCAACGTTGCGTGCAACAAGTTTGGGGTAGACACACGCAGCAACATTCCTGCTGCGTGCAATGTTGCCTGCAATTTTGCACCGTGTATCAGAACCTTAAAAGAAGAAAGAAAGTGCGTTACACAACACAGGCAACCCATAAGAAGCAAAATACCAATAGATTTGAATTAAATCGCCTCATTATCAGATTACAGCACAGGGAAACATGGGAAACGATCACAACACAGAAAACCCATAAAGAGCAAAGTTACTTTCCTAAAAGAAGCAATCAAAATATAGCGATAAATATAACGATTTAAGTACATATAGAGCCGGCGGGGAAAGTTCTCTTGAAATCAGGGAAAATAACAAGATAAAGATGCAAACTTAACCGTGTGTCTCTTTTTTGTCTTTTCAGTGCTGGTTTTACTGTTGTCGTAAAAACAGATTTGAATGGAAATCTTATGAGGTAAAAATACTTGTTCAAATCCCCTCTGACCAAGTTATGCACATTTCTTGCGAAGGAGGGTCGAAAGCTACAGCCGTAAAAAGACGTTCGTTTCAAAAGATTGAATCCTGCATCCTATTATGTTAACCACAGCTTAAAAAATAATCCAATTTTCATTGTTTGAAAATAATTCTAAATCAAACAATTTCACAACAAATGAAAAAAGCTTCCTTTGACAACTACCCAGAAAATTACCCAGAATGCGCCTGATATATTGATATATCGATATGTATGTTGTCAGATACTTATGTGCCAAAGACAGGACAGAAATGTACAGATGGGTAGCGGCCATATTGAATATGAAGGTAATCTTGCGTTTATTGAGATTTGCTATAGATCAGTTCCACTTAAAGGGAAGGTCTGTTGTCCGTATCGAGACTCAAATGATTCTATGGTTCTATGGTTCTAGCATCCAGAAGGTATATGGACAGACCCTATCGCTGCAGCAGAGTTGAAGACACGAAGGGTAAGAGCTTGTTGAAATCTGAGAAACTAATGACGACAAATCGCAAAATAGACGCAACAGAACAACAGCAAAACATCAACCAAAAAATAAAGTGACGTTTTGGATTTTTTTCCTAGGAAGGTTTTTTATTGCTTCGCTTTTTTCAAAACTTGTTTATGCGCCTATAATCGTGATTAGTATAAGTTTAGACTTGCTTGCTTGCTTGCTTGCTTGCTTGCTTGCTTGCTTGCTTGCTTGCTTGCTTGCTTGCTTGCTTGCTTGCTTGCTTGCTTGCTTTCTTTCTTGCTTTCTTTCTTTCCTGTTTTCCATAAACGTTATTTTTATGTTTATTAACACATTGCCTATTTGTATTTTCATAGGATTGGATATATTTTAAATATTTCAAGGGAAATAGATAATTTCTTTTATGGAACTTTTAAATACTTCAATGTTAGGTAAGTCTGTCTTGGTGTGGTTTAAATACTTTAACTTTTCTGCTTCTTTTGATCAATATGTTAAGACTAAGATGAATGACAATCACAATGGTGGTGATGCCCATGATGATACATGTAATGATGTTGATGGCGATGATGATGATGAAGATGATACATGGGTTGATGATTGATGGTTTCGATGATGATGGTGGTGATAATGATNCTTGCTTGCTTGCTTGCTTGCTTGCTTGCTTGCTTGCTTGCTTGCTTCTTTTTTTTTTCTCCTTTCACTGATTTTTCTTTGTTTCTAAACAACTTTTATGAATTTTCTTTTGATAGGTAAAAGACGAACAGATCTACCTTGGTCGACAAGTATGCATAAATAAAACTAATTATATGATTTTAAGAAAGCAATAGACTGTTAACAGTCCCTCTTTTTCCTCTGCTATAAACTCAGCCGAGTCAAGTTTTTTCCTGTAACTTGGTCGCGGGGGATGGGAGTGGGGGAGAGTGAACCCGCAGCACTCGGGGAAAAGAAAAGAACATTATACATAGAAATGAATTGAGCGTTGCCTACACACCGCAAAATCCCCATTGGTTGAAAATGATCGATCTGTCAACGAGGTGAAATATTTATCGAAAACCGAAACCAATGTTTATGACAGAGTATTCTGCTTTCCAGTAGAGCTAAAACTGTTATTAGCTGTAGCCAACCTCTCTCGCATGTTAGTTACTGGCGAATTTGTTATAAATGATCAACAATCGAGCGAGCAGCCGAATGGAAACGACGAGTTTGTAGTCGAACCTTGATCTTGCAAATAATTCGTAAGTCTTCTCCGTTGTCGTTAGCGGGCAGGAAGGTTACTACAAACAGTTATAACGGCCGCAAAGGAAACCAGCTATTCTTGTGCAGCTTTCTACTTCATAAGATCACATCTGTAAAAAACGATTTCATGAGTTTTGGCTCTTATTCGTGAAAATCGAAAATCTCGAAAATCGTGGTAAATATAAGTATAAATCGTGGACATACCCCGGAAAACTGGAGGAAATTGGTTAACGGTACGGACCAAGTAAACGAGGTTAAGATGTCTATTATATGGCAAGGCATTGAGCAGACGTTTGTGGGGAGGGAATTTCGGGCTGACACTAAGAACGGCTGCAAAGGAGACTAAGCGCGTGTACACAAGCGGTGACCTTGCCATATAAAAAGAGGCAGTAATGAAGAAAAGAAATTAAGAACGTAATGATTAGAAAACTTTATTAGAAATATATTTAACACAGAATTTAAAGCTGATTCCAAAAATGAAAAGAAAAAGGGGTGTCCCGAGCTCGTTTTCGAGATATTGAATTTTGAGTATTACCATCTTGACAAATTTTCAATAGAAAAATGGCGGAAACCAAGCTTTGAACAAAAAAATTAAAAACTCAAAAATCAAAAAACCTTCGTAAGTAATTTTCTCAAGACATCTACCTTAGACTCTATTTTCGATAACTAATTTGAAATATTTGAAAAAAGGCTCTGAAAATAAGTTCAAAATCCAGCATTTTGTTCATTTAATGAACCGAAAATTGTACAAAAGCGGTGACAAGAAACACACAAACAACTCTTTTTCTATGAGTTGTAATAATTACGTTTCTCATTCACTTTTTTAACAAAAGATTGGCTTTTACCTGTTGGTTAGGAAATTTCGTCAAACAAAATATAGTTCTCGTGCGAAATTTTAGTTGAAGTCGAAGGTCAAAACATGCATACTTTAGGAAGCATGGAAAGCGTAGCGAACAGGGTTCGATTCCTTGACTCGTCACATATTACTAGAGTTGTTTGTTGGTTCTCTCCTGTGTGTCCTAAGGTTTTTCTCCTGTTTTCTTCCCTCCGCAGAAATCTAAATCTAAATTCTAATTCGATCTAGAAAGTTACTCTGCGTAATTCTAGTCTGGCAAATTGAGTAGTTTTTTAATGGTTCCTTGAAAACATTTGCACACTTCATGGGCTCAAATTGAACGTTCAATAAAAGGTAGTCACCTTCCTTGAGATAAACTCTCCAACTCCTTCCCTTCTACACCTACCATTTCTTCCTTCGGTTTTTCCCTCATTTTCCTCCTACCTTCTTCTTCCCACAGTATTCAGTTTTCATTCCGCCCACTATTTCTTCTTTTTTTTCCAGTCACGCTATCTTAGGACAGAGGGTTCATCAAAACACATCGTCCAGGAAATCAGTACGCGTCGAAAGTCACTGCGCCGTTCAGGACCAGTTTCATAAATGTTTAACTTTCATGTATTTTTATATCCTTGATTCATGATGGGACCCCTGAGTTGTATATCAAAAAAGGTAGTCACCTGTAAAGCCACAAAGCTGAGACCGGCAAGGATCAATGGGTAGATACATTTAATATGTTTCAACAGCTTGAAAAATATTGATGGACTTGAGTTTACATTCACAGTTTCACCTCCTGTGAGCATCCTAAAGCTGCAGTTTTTATCTAAACCTTTTAATACTTGTTTAATATGAAATAGTGTTAATCAAGATCCTCAGCGATCTCAGCTTTGTAGATTTTTGGTGACTAACTTTATTGAAATAAGTATAAACATATAAGTAACTCTAGGAAGCAAGTTTAGGAGGATGAGGAGAGTTTACGAGAGTTCAAGCGTAGTGCACATCTTGTGCGCTCCGCTTCTTTTACCAGTCTTTCTTTGAACTTCGCCAACTTCCCTTAATTATGAACATCTATAGACCTCTTTAGCTTGGGCGTAATGTTTTCCCATTTCAGGCCACTTGTCATTCTCTTGAGAATAAGATTCTTTGTTTGAGTTGTATCCGTATTCATGTATCCAATACTCTGCTCATGCGCATCTTCGTGCAAAGCCGTTTTGCTGTGAATGATAATCTGCTCATGCGCAGTAACGTTGCATTTGTCAACATAGCTCGCTTCCCTTTGGGTAGGGTATGTTTGATAGATAGCATGAACAAACGAAGCACCAAAAGAAAACGGAAAAATAGTTTGAGAAGATATGAAACAATTATTGAACTTAGTTATCACAAAATACAGTGATTTGTTAGTAACGAGCAAATGAAGATAATTTGCTCATTGTCGTCCCATAAATGCATAAAGTCGTAGGAAAATGACACTTATTTAGTGGAACGCTTGCTTGAAAAATGTTCCCTAAACACTCCTCCTAAAATGTGTTGGAATGAATTATTGCATGAACCCTTTTATACGAATCTTGTTGATTATTTTGTCGAAGATTTCTTACATTTTTGCATCAAAATGAATCAAAATATTTCAATACTTTAGTTTTAAAACAAGTAAGTGCTTCACAATAT